AGTTGCTTTTAGGTTTGCCCTCTTAAAACACATGATATGGGCCTCGCCGATCAAAACAAATGCATAAATTGTGGGGTCCTCTTAAATCGTTATAATGAATATATAGAATTCGGGATGAACCGTTTAGCAAATTTCATGGCCTTCCCCAACATAATAACGCGTTAGTCACTATAGGCGCGCTTTTAATAACATTACCTCCCTAAACTCGGGTGCACATTTACGTGACCAAAATCCAAATCTCAACGGAGTCGAAATGTGTCAATAACCACGGGTGCATTGATGTGACATGGTTCGAGATGTGTTTTCACGACGTTGCAATTCTCGTTAAAAAATAATAATAATAAAAGCGGTAAAAAGTTTAAATTTGCACATAGGTTCAATATGAATTAAAATCAGATAAATAAGCCGAATATAACAGTTGAGCGACCGTGCTAGAACCACGGAACTCGGGAATGCCTAACACCTTCTCCCGGGTTAACAGAATTCCTTATCCAGATTTCTGGTTCGCGAACTGTAATATAGAGTTAATCTTTTCCTCGACTCGGGAGTCAACCGGTGACTTGGGAAACCATAAATCTCCTAAGGGGCGACTCTGAATTAAATAATAAATCCCGTTTCGATTGTCCTTTAATTGGAAAAACTCCCTTATATATCCCTTTCCGGGGTCTAGGTGAAAAAGGAGGCGTGACAGGATATATTAGGTTCATTACCTAAAACTAATTGCAACGGGGAATATTTATGATAATTTATTGGTCTGAGACGAACTAGCATTGCTGCATGCAAAATGGTGTGACCCCAAACAGAAATGGGTAACCTTGTTTTCATGTGTAACGGTCTTACTATCAATTGCAGACGTTTAATTAAAGATTTTGCAATACCATTTTGAGTGTGAACATGAGCTATAAGATGTTCCACTTTTATCCCAATTGATAAGCAATAATCATTAAATGTTTGGGATGAAAACTTAGCAGCATTATCAAGTCTAAAAAACTTAATTGGATTATCGGGAAATTGTGCCCGTAATCGAATTATTTGTGCCATTAATTTTGCAAATGCGAGGTTGCGAGATGACAATAGGCACACATGGGACTATCTAGAAGATGCGTCTATTAAGACCATAAAATATCTAAACGACCCACTAGGTGGGTGAATAGGTCCACAAATGTCCCCTTGTATACGATCCAAAAACGCAGGGGACTCAATTCCAACCTTTGTTGGTGATGGTCTAATAATTAACTTGACTTGATAACAAGAAGTGCAAGAAAATTCATTATTTAAAAGAATCTTTAAATTCTTTAATGGATACCCATTTGAGTTTTCTATAATCCGTCTCATCATAATTGATCCAGGATGTCCCAATCGATCATACCAAAGTAAAAAAGTATTGGAATCAATAACCTTTTGGTTTACGGTAGAATGTGCCTCAATTGCACTAATTCTTCTCCAATACAGGCCACAAGATAAAGATGAGAACTTCTCAATAACCCTTTTCAGGCCAGAGACATTTTTGGTAATGATGAGATATTCAAGATTATTCTCATCTACTGTCTCAATATGATATCCATTTCGGCGGATATCTTTAAAACTCAACAAGTTCCTCTTCGACTTGGAGGAGAATATTGCATTCTCTATGATAAGTATTGTTCCCTTAGGCAGGGTTATAGTAGCTCTTCCAGAGCCTTCAATTAATTTACTACTATCAGAAATTGTAGTAACATCTGCCTTACACATACTTAAATGAGAGAAATATTTCTTCTCTTTGAATATTGTATGTGTCGTACATCAATCAACTAAACAAATATTTTTACAATTTAACTTTGATCCAAGTTTGTTTTGTGAGATATACATATTTGCTTCCCATGGTTTGACATATAAAAGAAATATACAAATAAATATTAGTATTTTCAGAGAAAAATGAAAGAAATAATGTTAAACCAATGATTCAATAATGATCTTTTAATGCAATTTCGAGCAAACTCAGATTATGATACAAACAATTACTAAATCCTTTTTTTAGGTCGTTAATTCTAAATACATCCATAGCACAAGTATCATGAAGATGGATACTAAAGAAAGATATAAAATTGGCAACCAATTATTTTGGTGCTTAATTACTAGTCCGATCCTGTTGTATTCCGTAAAAATAATTTCAGTAGCTCTTAACAATTTCCATAGCAACATTAAATTCAAAAACCATTTGGATCTAATATATACAAATACCTGAAGGGAAGGAATTTATGTTAACCTCATATACGTGTATTGTCAACTAGATCAGAAACCGAGGATACTAATGTAAGTTATGCAACTAAGCGCCTTAATGGTGAAAGAACAAAAGCATACAAAATATAGACATCATTTCACATTAATATGAAATTGTTTTAGTTATCAAGGTTTCAGTAAGAAACATTGTCTCAATATTCAAGAGGTTGTAAACTAATAGTCAACTCGTATGACGAAGAATGCAAACTCAAACATTGTTTAAAACAAATACTAGAACTGTATTTGATCAAAACGAACTAACACTATTTCATAAATAAATATTACTAATTGATACTAATAACTACTACTCATATAAAGAACTATGATTACATGATGTTTATTAGCTACTACGAATATGCAAAAATAAAAATCAAACTATTCAATCATCTTTAACCACAGATCCATCACCGATCAAGTGGTCTATTTTTCCATCAAGGTGCTCAAAGAAGTCTGCCACATCCAAATGGGTGATGTCAAAATTATTGTCAGAGACAAAATTGGCTTCAGGACCTTTATTCTTTAGAGATACTTGATAAAGCTCAACCAAATGTCTTGGTACACGACAAATATTTGCCCAATGCCCTTTTCCACCGCCACGATAGCGTTCAGTTTCTGAACCATTTGCTTTTGGCTTCTCATCTTTCCCTTTCCATTTTTGGTGGTTATTTCTCTTTGGGGGATGATTAACACCAGGAAAATTTCTTCCTTGTCTATGGCGAGGGCCACGACCACGACTACGAATAGAATCACGGTCTTTTCCACGCTTAGCATAATGGGAATACACCTCATCCACTCCAGGCAATGGTGTAGACCTAGTGGGTCGATTTTCGCGATTTCTCATGAGCAAATCGTTATTTCGTTTAGCCACAAGGAGAAGAGAAATCAACTCAGAGTACTTCTTGAAACCTTTCTCTCTGTACTACTGTTGCAGGGTCATATTGGAGGCATGAAACGTTGTAAACGTTTTTTCAAGCATATCATAGTCAGTGATAGTATCTCCACAGAGTTTCAATTTAGAAGTAATTCTGAACATCGCAGAATTATATTCAGAAACAGACTTAAAGTCTTGGAGCCTCAGATGAGCCCAATCATATCGTGCTTGTGGAAGAGTGACCAACTTTAAGTTGTCATATCTTTCCTTTAAGCCATTCCACAAAACAAGTGGATCTTTGACTGTGAGATGTTCTATTTTCAACCATTCATCAAGGTGATGGCGCAAGAAAATCAAGGCCTTAAAACAGTCTTGGGTGGGTGCTTTAGTTTTATCTTTAATGGCGTCTCCAAGACCCATTACATCTAAATGGATTTCAGCATCCAACACCCATGTCATATAGTTTTTTCCCAAAATTTCAAGGGCAACGAACTTTCTTTTCATAATGTCAGTCATAATTAAAAAGAGGAGAAAAGTTATACCTTAATCTTCTCAAAGAGCTTTTTGAAACGGTAGAGTCTCGTGCTGATAACGTGTTATGAAAATAATAAAAGAACAAGAGCAATATTGCAGAGAAAGAGAAAGAGGAAATTCTTATTGAATTTTGGGATGATTTACAATGGAGTAAGATCCCTCTATTTATAGGGTAAAAATGACTTAGCTACAAAGTAAAACTCTCTGCCAAATCGGAAAATTACTAATATGCCAATAAATGTCTATTGCAAAATATCATATCAAAGGGATAATATTTCTTGAAAGAGGGTGGTGATATTTCTCTTTCACCTAAACCCTATTAGAGGAATTTTTTCAGCTTTTAAAAGAACGAGAAAATATGATCATTTGGTTGTAAAATTCTTCTAAAAATACTAGAAAAATAAACGCATGAAATTCATTTTAAAATTTATTTAGGGATCTCGTTTCAAATGTTTATTTATGCCATTTTAAAAGAAATTTATACTATATTTTAAAAATTTGGAAGTTTGAATAAAAAATGCTCATTCATTTGAGAATTAAAGATCGAATTTTTTGCATGATGTTTAATCAGTAAGTCAGTCAAGTAGGTAATATCTTAGAGATATTTATTTCTTTTCATTATTACATTCAAGAATGCAGTATACAAAACAACTCCTCACTAAACAAGAAAATATCCTTTTAATGGTATTCCCTCCGGTCTACAATAAGTGACCATTGTACCTTTTTATTCTGGTCCCAAATAAGTGACTATTTATATAATAAGAACGAATTAATTTTAATTTTCTAAAATTTGTACTTATTGACATATTCCACTATGTCAAGGTAATAATTAATTAAGGTTAATTTAGTGAAAATATCTTTTTTTTTTCTCTAGGAGTTCGTATTTCCTTAACGTGTGTGTCAAAGCTAGAATGGACACTTATTATGAACCGGAGAAAGTATTTACTAGTCAAACCAGAATTCAAACAAAGAGAAAATCTCACCAGCTTTGCATTTATTGGTATACAACCTTTTAAGTTGAAACAAGAACAAGAAATAATCTTATTGTGTAGTCCTAATAAAAATGGAACAGTCTTGTCTGAATTCCAAATGGTTAGTACTATCATGCTTCCATTGCTCAATTCTTGTTATGTCTATGGCTATCTCAGGCTTGGAATTTATAGCTGATCAACAAGTTTTGTTAGGCTTCAAAGTTAGAATAACAAATGATCCATTCCAGATAATGGCTTCTTGAAATAATTCTCTCCATTACTGCAATTGGACAGGCATAACATGCAACCCCTCCATTGAAAGAGTCATGATTCTTGACTTGAGATCACAAAAACTCGTTGGCTCTATGCCGTCTTCTATTGGTAATCTCACGTTCCTAATATCGATAAATCTTAGAAATAATAGCTTCTATGGTGAAATCCCAATGGAAATTGGCAACCTCCTTCAGCTTCAACATCTCAATCTCACTTGGAATTCTTTTACTGGAACCATTCCTTCTAATCTGACTTACTGTAAACAACTTCGATCACTTGCTCTAGAATATAATAGGCTTGTTGGTAATATACCCGATCAACTCAATTCACTTTCAAAGTTGAATTATTTAGGATTTGGAAGCAACAATCTCACTGGAAATATCCCATCTTGGATTGGAAACTTTTCGTCACTTCGTGGTCTTTCCCTTGCCATTAACAATCTTCAAGGACCAATACCTCAAGATATTGGCCGTTTGTCAAACTTGCAAATCTTCCAAGTTTATGGAAATCAGTTGAATGGTACAATTCCTCAATCTGTTTTCAATATCTCTTCTGTTTACTATTTCTCTGTTACTCAAAACTTGCTGTATGGAGAGCTTCCATCAGATATAGGCCTAACTCTTCCAAATCTTGAGGTGTTTGCTACTGCTGTGAACAACTTCACAGGATTGATTCCCGTTTCATTATCAAATGCTTCGAAACTTAGTGTTATTGAATTGTCTCAAAATAGCCTCACTGGAAATGTTCCTACAAGTTTAGGACAATTGCAGTGGTTGTACAGGATCAATTTTGAGATCAATAGTCTTGGGAGCAACAGGAATGAGGGTTTGAGGTTTCTTTATTTCTTAGTTAACTGTACAAGTCTTCAAGTTTTAAGCTTTGAGGACAATTTCTTGGGCGGAGAACTGCCTAAAACCATCGGTAACCTTTCCACGAGACTTGAAATATTTGGTCTTAGTTACAATAGGATAGTTGGTTCTGTTCCTGCTGGACTAGGAAACCTTGTCAATTTGACACGTTTATCGCTTGATAATAACAAGTTCAGAGGCAGTGTTCCTGAGTCTTTAGGTAAGCTTCGACACCTACAAGGACTGGAGTTGAATGGAAACAAGTTTTCAGGAATGATTCCATCTTCTTTTGGTAACTTGACATCTCTAACAACTTTACACATTGAGGACAATGAACTAGAAGGGAACGTACCTCCGGAGCTCGGACAGTGTACTAGTTTATCAGTACTAAACCTTACTGGAAATAATCTTGTTGGTTCCATACCAAAGGAGCTTGCAGGTCTTTTTTCACTTTCAATTTCTTTGGCGTTAGCGAACAATTCTTTGACCTGTTCCTTGCCAGCTGAAATGCGAAAGTTGATAAATCTCAAGGAAATGGATATTTCACATAACAAATTATCAGGTGAAATTCCAACCACACTCAGCACCTGTGTCAGTTTAGACCGCTTCATCGCGAATAATAACCTGTTTCGAGGAAGAATTCCTGAATCCTTAAAAGGATTAAGAGGTTTAGAAGAAATTGATTTGTCACACAACAACATCTCAGGAGAAATACCAGACTTTCTTGGGAAACTTCCATATCTTAGGAAGCTTGATCTTTCATTCAATGAACTTGAAGGCAAAGTACCAAACGATGGGATCTTTGCGAATGAAAGTGCAGTTTCAATTTCAGGGAATCATAAACTATGTGGAGGTCCTCCAAACTACAATTTTCCTGCATGCCCTACACAAAAAGATCCAGCATCAAAGAAACACATTCATACCAGGATAAAAGAAGCGATTATTATTTCAGTTACATTTTTATTTCTACTTTTGTGTTCTTTTGCTGCTTGCTATACAGTAATTAGGAACTCGAAAAAGGGAGATCTCAGTGCACGGTCCACAAGAGAAAGGCAATCTGAACATTTTGATGATGACGAACCAACTTTAGCTAATGATCCATCTTTGGCAGCAAAAATAACTTACCAAGATATATTTAAGTCAACCGATGGATTTTCTGAGGATAATCTGGTTGGTACTGGGAGTTTCGGTTCTGTATACAAAGGACAGTTTCAAGTTTTCGATAAAGTTATGGCAGTGAAAGTATTGAACCTGCAACAAAGAGGTGCTTTGAAAAGCTTTTTGGATGAATGTAGAGCTTTGAAAAGTATAAGGCATCGTAATCTCCTTAAGATCGTAGCTGCTTGTTCAAGCATCGATTACCAAGGTAATGACTTCAAATGCATAGTATTTGAATTCATGGCAAATGGAAGCCTAGATGATTGGTTGCACTCAAAAACTGGTGAGCAATACCTCAATATTATCCAAAGGCTAAACATAGCAATAGATGTTGCTTCAGCTCTTGATTATCTCCACAACAATTGCCAAGTACCAATTGTTCACTGTGATTTAAAACCGAGCAACATTCTACTTGATGAAGAGATGACTGCCCATGTTGGTGATTTTGGATTGGCAAAATTCCTCCTCAAGTCGAATGAATCGTGGAATAAACAGACTTCTATTGCACTAAAGGGTTCTATAGGTTATATTTCACCAGGTATGTCACTAATCCATTTTGCATAATGGCTATTTCCCTTAATTCAGAGGCGGATTCAGATTTAAGTTCTATGAGTTCAATCTTTAAGATTCTTAGCATTGAACCCGTACACGTTGTATTTTTAAAGTTATGGGTACATATTTACTATTTATTGTAATTTAGTAGATATTTACACAAAATTTCATAGCCAGTGTCAAAAATACTGGGTTCAGATGAACCTGGTACCTTGAGGCTGCATCCGCCCCTGTCCCTTATCAGGTGTCCTTACATGTAAAATGAAATGTTTGTGTACCTCAACTTATATATGTCTTTCCGATGCTCACAGTATTTAATGAAAAAATAAAAAAGTAAAAACTCTCAATGTCCCGACATTATTGTAACATTTCTCAAATTTTTTAAAAGTTTCGAGACACGCTAAGTATAGAAATAAATTATTACCATTTTTATTATTTTT